CATTAATTGTGGTTATCGATGCTCATCGGTATTCGTCGAGCGTGATAAAATTATTTCTAAAATTAATAATATTTTTTACCATTAAAATTATTGATTAAATTCATATAAACATTTAAAGTTTATTTATTAAGAAGAAATTTTAAAGTTACTGAAAGATACAATGTTTTTTAAAGTGACTGAAAGATTCTTACTCACTTGTAAGTATAAAAGTACTGAAGTAGAGAGCAAGAGATAGTTCAGGAATCTACCATTTCTATTTCCTATAAATAGAGAACGTATTACTGAATTCAATTGAATATGGCAATATTCAATTCAATATAAAAAAAAAAACAATAAGTCAAATTTTGTAAAATCCTATAATATCGACTTCCTTAAAGAATAAGCTTAATTTTATTAGTATATGAATTTAAATTTATAAAATCATTTTAGTGATTTAATACAATTATTTATTTCAATAACCTTGTAATTTTTTTTTACAAGAAATGTCCCCATAAATCAATGTCAACGGAATCGCCATCGCTATCGTAAACTTGAGTTTGCAGAGCTGGTGAAGTGAGGAGCAAACCCTCCGCCATGCTATGGATTAGCCCTGGCATGTTAAACAATGCCTCTTCGTCCATGAACTCATAATCATCATTATCATTCGTAATTTTCAAGCTCCACCTATGGTCTAAACCCTTCTTTTCTTCATCATTCTCATTGGGGACTCGGCTTGGCGACGAGCATCCCGCCGGTTGATGATCGATATTTTTCCAACTTATTGTTGGTTTAAAAGCCTCGGCGGCTGTAAAAGCAGCGATTTGTATATCTTTAGGCGAACAAGACTTGGCCATTTGAAGGACCGAAGCCGAGTCAGGGAAGTTTAGAGCGGCAGATTTTCCCCTGAGGGATAAAACGGCGGCGTCGTAAGCCCTAGCTGCCATTTCAGGGGTAAGGAAAGTGCCCAACCAAATCCTTGATTTCTTGCAAGGTTCACGAATTTCAGACACCCATCTATTCCCTCTCCTTTGACGTACACCTCTAAATACAGGATGACGAGTCTCTTTGAACTTCTTTCTACCAGCTTTTCGCTTATGAGAATTCGAAACAGCCATGAACGGCTGACCAGCTGATGATGAGGAGGTGGAGGATAATTCTGAGTCTGGGCTGAATGGCTTGCATGAAGAAAACGAAGAAGAAACAATCTCCGAATACTCCATCTTTTTAGCTTCGAATATTCTGAATACCCAAAACGATTTTTTTCAAGTAAATTTGAAAAATGTTAGCAGCAGACTTAGTGAAGTGGAGTGAAGACTGAATATGCACGAGAAAAAGTAATATTATATAAGTACAGATAAATAGTATCAGAATGGAAATCAAAACCGCGAATTGAACAGAGTTAAACACACGGGGCGACACGTTTTAATTTCGGACACGTTAAAAAAGAGTCAAACATGTTGGTCAAATGTGAAATAGTTTCCCCAGCTGAGATCGTACGTGAAGCATGTGGAGCTTGAAGCTCACTCTCCTTTGTTAGCTTAATTTACTAGGGTAGTGTTTGTTTTCACTGTTTAAGGTATTTAAAATTTTTATGTCTGCGTCGCGCAGATCACGCGCAGATATTGGACTTCGCAGACCGTTTGTTTTTTAGAAGACAGAAACTCTTCTAACGTCTGCGCGTCCTCTTCTTGGAGCAGACGTGATCTTATGTCTTCAAAGCTCTTCTAACCTCTTCAAAGAACTATTTTTGCTATTAATTTTTTAAAAATTATAAAATGTTATTAAATTTAATGAATTATTACAAAATAGTCACTATAATGTTATAATAAATTATAAAAGTTCGATAATATAATAATTATTTTATAGTATTTAGATAAATTTATTAATAATTTTATAATCTTTTAATAAATTTAATAAGTATTTTATAATTTTTTTAAATTTTATTGACGAAAATGATTATTTGTATATAACTCAACGATATCTAATATACTTTATTTGAAAAAATATATTAAACTTAGTAAAAAATATACTTTATTTGAAAAAATATATTTTTTTCTAAATAGAAAAATACTAATTGATGTATATTATATGGAGTATATATTATATATATTTTTTGATGTTACTAGAATCGGATTGTACCACTCGAATAAATTAAGATGATTTAAATGATATTATAAAATCGAGTATTGATATATTTGTGAATCGATAATAATTGAGAATTAAAATATAATTTTTTTAACAATTACTTAAACCGAAACAAACAGATTGAATTAAAATCAAATTGATTTCATTATCAATTGATTTAATAATAATTTTTAAAATTATATACAATATTAAAACCAAAATCTAATAGTCCTTAGATGTAATAATTTATAATAATAAAATTTGTATAATATTTATTTAATATATTTTTTCAAATAAAGTATATTATATATTGTTGAGTTATATACAAATGATCATTTTCGTCAATAAAGTTTAAAAAATTATAAAATACTTATTAAATTTATTAAAAGACTATAAAATTATTAATAAATTTATCTAAATACTATAAAATAATTATTATATTATCGAACTTTTATAATTTATTAAAACATTATAATGATTATTTTTTAATAATTCATTAAATTTAATGACATTTTATATTTTTTTAAAAATTAACATCAAAAAATGGTTATTTGAGTATAGTTTAAAAAATCAGTTTATTTATATTTCAGTTTATTTTAGCAGTCTGCAGACGTTAAAAAACAAACAGTCTTCTTATTACAGACTGCAGACTTTTGGTCCGCCTCTTCTGCTGCAGATACCTACAGATGTAGTCCGCAAACTGCAAACTTTTTACCTATTCAAAAACAAACATCACCTAAGTTTCCTTTCAATTCAAAAAAAAGAAAAGAAAAGTGAATTGATTACCCCAAAACGTTATTTCTGATCATTTGAACACGGGTCCAAGTCCAAGTGTACAACTTTTGGGGACGGCAGATGTTTGGACACGTCTGCGTTTTTCCTCATATAGTAATATGGAACATGTTCAATGGATCTACACTAGAATCGAATTACTCGTCCCATCAAATGAATTTGATTCGAAAATATTCAAATTCCATGTTTTTGATAGCATTTTATATTAAATTTTACGCCGCACCTATTTAATTTCTAAAAAAAGGTTAGAGTGTAATTATAAAAATTTCTAAAATATTCAACTTGTAATGGAAATCATTAGGTTAGAGTGTAATTATAAAGATTTTTAATAAATAACCGTAGGTAGTATAATAAATTCCATGATTTTGATAGCATTTTATATTAAATTTTACGTCGCACCTATTGTATATGAAAAAAAGGTTAGAGTGTAATTATAAAGATTTTTAATAAATAACCGCAGGTAGTATAATAAATTATTTATATGTAAATTACGTTTAGATATTTATAAGATATTATTTATTTATAAATTTTTTAAATTATTGAAAATACATATTCTATAGATATTATTGTTTGAACCTAAAATTTATAATAATAAACAATATTCTTTTTAATTATTGAGGCCACTTGAATTCTAAAGAAAACAATGTTCATTTTAATTATTGAGGTCACGATGAGTTCATACTTTCATTTACTTTTTATTTTATTGCGAACCAATAATCTAATAGGAGAAGAGGTTGGAAAATTTTCAATCTTCTACTACCATATTACTTTTTGGCATTTAAATAATGTCATTAATCAATTTTTAGAAATCGCTTAGGCATTATTAGCTATAAATCCATTGATAAGGACATTAGGCGATACCTTCTATGGAACATTAAGTTATATACATAAATGTATAATGGAAATCATTAGGTTTTTTTATGTCAACATTGGGCTGTATATATTGATTGGCTAATAACATTAGGCTCTTTTTATGTGAACATTGGGCTGTATATATTGACTAATAACATTAGTTTATATATATATATATATATATATATATAATGAAAGTATTAGTTTTTTTTTTATGTTTACATTAGGCTATATATTGACCGATAACATAAGGGTATATATATATAATCATAAATTTTGTCCATGTTATTTACACATTCTCTCAATTTAACTATGTGATTATACTAAAATATTTAACTGTCACGTCCCTTAATCTATTAACTGTTAACGACATTTAACCCTGAGCACATCTTAATTAAATAAAAAAAAGTGATCATATCTTAATTAAATAAAAACGAAAATGACCATATATTATGTTTTTTTGAAATCGACGAAGAAAAGTACTGGACAAAACACAAACATAAGTAGTCAATCATGTAGTTAATCCTATTTTTTTTGTGACCTCAATGATAAAAGAAAATATTATTCTCCTTAGAGGTCCAAGGTTCGAACAAAGTGTATATGCGTCCATTATCAATTTGTTTATAAATTTCTAAATAAATATTACATTAAAAAATTTCAATAAAAAATACATAAAAAAATCTAAAATATATATAATTTTATTTTTCTACACCCACTCGATCCACTTTTCCATCCGTGATTACAAGCGTTTTTTACTTTTTAATTAAAATATTCTAATATATTAATCCGTGATGAAAATAAATATTATTCTAATAGATAATGGATAAATAATGCTATTTTAATAAATAATTTTAATATTATTTTTATAAAAAATATCATAATTTTATTAAATTAAAATAATTATAAAATAGTATATATTTTTAATTATATGATAATGAATGTTCAATCACTTTTATATATATCATATTCGAACTCAAACCTCTAAAAATAACAATAATTAATTTAACAACTAAGATAAATTGATTTATACAAATATCATATCGATTTTAAATGTACAATTTGATTTCTTTTCATTTATTTGTTAGAAGAAAATATAGTTTTTCCTTTTTTTTGGGGGGATTCGAAGAACATTTCATGGATGCTGTATTTTTCAATTTTCAAGCTTATCCAATTCCGTTTATATATAGTTTTTCGTTTTTATATATATATATATATTCAGGGGCGTTGTCTTTTGTACTGAGTGGTTGGTGATGTTATTTGATAAAAAAACAAAATTGATGTGAAGGCTGAAAAAAGAGGAGCAGGTTATAGTTTAAGTTGAAATGCTCAGTTCCTGTATTAAAAGGCAGATTGCTTTAGCAGGCGCAAAAAATCTGGTTCTGGGTCTCACTTGTTTCTCATCATCACTTCTTCACAGGTAAAACCACAAAATCTTTCGTTTTTGTGCATAAATATGTATATATCCAATCTCTCTTATTATTCCCCCCTGTTATATCCAAATAATAATTTAACAAGAACATCCTTTGGAAGTTTTAGAAGCAATAAAAGAAATCAGAGAAAATCTGTAGAAATATCAGTTATTCTTCATTTCTGAAACCGTGCCTCATACAAACAATTTTGATTTCTTTATACAAAGCAATATTGTATCTTACCCAATACGGTCAGTCCAGCAGTCAGCTGTAGAGTTAGTAGTCAGGAAAAAGGAAAAATACAAGTTTACCTCGTGTAGTTTTCACCCGATTGTACCATTTCATATTGCTAACAGGAAGAGATAAGGTTGGATTTTTTTTTGGGAAAAAAAACGATGTTCTCTGGAGTCTAATTTGGGATTCACAAGACTTTTGGGATCCTTGGTTTTCAATGAGAAAGAGTGTATTTTTTGTTGAACACACTTTTGTTCTTAGAAATACTCAACAATACTTGAACTGCTGTAGAGTAGAATTGAGATTGCTCCTTGAGGTATTCTGTTTTACCCTGGTAAGGCCTATGAAATCAAAATGTTATTTTATTTTGTGAGACTGGTGCAAACTTTCATTGATTATCATGTGCTAATCGTCATCGGATATGCAGTGAGAGTACTTATTCTCTTCCACATCCAGCTATCCTTGCTATGTGGTTAGACAGTAGTATATAAGTATACTAACGGTTCTATGATGCCCCCCAACTGATTTTGTCCGTAGCACCTGATGAAATCAATGTTATTCGATATGTGTTGTCTCTGGTGTAAGCTTGCATCTTGGCAGACTTACCCTACTTCACATCACTTTCTCGGAAGACAATTTCTTTAGCCTTTTTACAGCATATGGTTAGACATCTAGATAGAGAAATGCTTCAGGAAATTTTGGATGTATATAAGTATCTATATTTTGCTTTGCCTTCTTATGTTCTAAGGTATTTGTTTTTTTATTTTGAGGTCCTTCAGTGCAGGTATGTCTTCAGCGGTAGAGAGAAACAATGTGGACAACAACAAACCCATCACTCGGGTTCTCTTTTGTGGACCACATTTTCCAGCTTCACAAAATTATACTAGAGAATACTTGGAGAAGTATCCTTTTATCCAAGTACTTCGCTCAAATTGTCCTGCTCATGTACTTTTTGGCTATAGAATCACACTTAAATAAATGTTAAGGCACTATCAAAAACCAAACATGCACTAATGTCCAAAACAAGCCAAACACATTTCTTGTTTTTTCCTTTTCTAATGCAGTTGAACCTTTTTCTTATTGAGCTTCTCTAAATTGAACTTCTTGTAGGTTGATGACTTGCCCCTCGAGCAAGTTACTGATCATATTGGGAACTATGATCTTTGTGTTGCAAAAAACATGCGGTTCGATTCAAATGTCTTATCTCGTGCAAAAAAGATGAAGCTTATAATGCAGTTTGGCGTTGGCCTAGAAGGTCCTTAATTCTTTTATTACGATGACATTTCTACGTTAAAGCTTTTTCCATATTACATATTCTGCATTAATTTTTCATTTTTCATACTTCGGCATGAAGGTGTTGATTTTGATTCTGCTACAAAGCATGGGATAAAAGTTGCCAGAATTCCTGGTGGTGCTACTGGAAATGCTGCATCTTGTGCCGAAATGGCTATATATCTAATGTTGGGCCTTCTTAGGAAACAGGTTTATTTAATTTATTAACTTAAGAATTGCATTGCTTCTCTAATATGTTCCTATGATAGTAGTTAAACACGAAAAATAGTTGACTTTATGTTAATGGTGAGGTTAGTTCACTATGTTCTCTTATTTGTCTGATTTGTGCATACAATTGAAAGTTGAGTCTGGGTTAAAAAACATGAAAGAGACTTTTCAATGGAACTTGATTATCATTTTAATAAATTATGGTCAAAATGCAGTAAATTAAGCAACTTGTGGAAGAGGACAATATCCTGATGAACTGTTATGAGATCGATGGCCATTATTAACTGCTAGACTAGCTGTGTCTTTGTTCCTATTCCCAGAAAATTTTCATCAAGGCTTGAAATTATGGTTTTTCGATAATATTGTAATATGAATAATTCAATAGTGCAGTCATACCTTGCATTTCAGCTAGACTGCAACTCGTGTTTGTAGTTTTTGTTTGATTAAATAGTATTTTGTTCAATGCATTCAGTACCCACTACATTAAAAACTCATTTTCCAGGATGTTTGCTGTCCCTTTCAGTCAATTCTATATGTCTTCAGTATCTTGTTACCATTTTATTGGAGCCCCCGGTTTAGCTTGATGCTTCTGCTCATTGCATTATTTCTTTGTTGTCTGCTAGTTGAAGTATTTGATGCATGTATTTATATGAAACCTTAACTTTAACATTCATGCTATGTTTTTTGTCCTTGATATATAATATTTTGATGACCAAAGTAATTGTGGTGGTGTTGCAGAATGAGATGCAAATATCTGTAAAGCAGCAAATGCTTGGAGAGCCTGTTGGGGACACACTTCTTGGGAAAACTGTCAGTTTTCCCTTTGCTTCAACATTACTTTGAGATTCTTGCTTGTAAACCTTTTCATGAAATATGAACCTGTGCTTTTCTCTTTCAGTTTTCATGGTGACTGTCACTGATAATATACTCGATGAGTGATCGTTTGAACTTCATAATTTGGATATATCAGGCCAACTGAATTGAAAACAAAAATAAAAGCTTTACCATACTAATGCAAATTAATTTTCTGTGTCATGTCAAAGGAAGACAGCAACAGAGGCAATAATTTGACTTGGATTCAGGAATGAAACTAAATATTTTCTGTGATAGGAAATTTGACGTTGAGTACTGGGCAGAATCAATACTCTGTTGCTGTATCTGGTTTGCATTTTTTCCTTGCAAGTTGGAACTGGCAATGTCTTAAGGAGACATCAGTTCAAATTGATCCTATCCATGCATGGTAAAGGACTAAGATAATCAATCTGTTTCAATTTGTTTATTCGAACATAGTAAAGGACTATGACATTGAGAATCAATCCGTTTCAACTTGTTTCTTCAAACATTTGCATTTACAACCTTAATCCGTATTTAGACTCCTCGTTTTTTTTTTCTTTTTCCCTGGAAATGAAATGTTGGTTTGATGATCTCGTTTTTCAATTATTGTAGGCAATGAGATCTTAATATGATGCTGTCATGTTTCAAATCGTCGTTTCCAATATTTTAGTTTAATTTTTAATTATCAACCTGTTTGTCCAGATCTTTATACTGGGCTTTGGAAATATTGGAACTGAGTTGGCCAAGCGCCTAAAAACATTTGGTGTTAAAGTTATTGCTACGAAAAGGAGCTGGCCCTCAACTTTGGAAGTTACCCCAAAAGGTATAGAAGATTATTAAGTAAATAGTGAAACTCAGTTTCAATGGCATCTCATTCATTATGGTCTCAAATATTCAGCTTTTCCAAGTCAAAACGAGGTCATTGATGATTTGGTTGACAAGAAAGGCATACATGGAGATATTTATGAGTTTGCAAGCAATGCCGATATAGTTGTCTGTTGCTTGAATTTGAATAAAGATACAGTAAGGCTTCTCCTTTCCTTCTTTATTTGAAATATCCACTTTCAAATAAACGGTAAGGCTACAAAGCTTACTCTCCAAGCAAATTTCATACAATTGGGATATTTCAAATTTTCAGGTTGGCGTTGTGAACAAGTCCTTCTTATCTTCAATGAAAAAGGTTTGTTTCAAATGCACTCCGTAATTCAGGATAGAACTGTCATAGTTTTTCTTTTAGGTGCAGTCATAGCTATGAAAACATGAAAATGAACGGCATAATTCTTCTTGCAAAATGCATATTTTCATAGCATATATTTATATGCTACCTCTCTTCTGTAAACTTTCAATGTTTAATTGGATGTTTGTGCTAATAATAGTGTGATTTCAGGGAGCCCTTTTGGTGAATGTTGCTCGAGGAGCTCTTTTAGACTATGAGGCAGTTGTGCATCATCTCAAGTCAGGACACTTGGGAGGCTTAGGAACTGATGTTGCATGGAGAGAACCATTTGAACCTGATGACCCCATTTTGAAATTCAAGAATGTTATACTGACACCTCATGTTGCCGGGGTTACTGAACATTCTTACCGAACCATGGCGAAGGTATACATCTTAGCTATGCTTTTAGATTTTTAGAAGTAACGTGAATTTTATTTTTCACTGCAAAGGCATTAAAGCCGAGAAAAAGAAGAAACTTGGCATATGAATTATCAAATTTATCCAACTAAAGTAGGGTTTCAGGTATTTGTTTCACATGTTTCTTCATCTTCATCATTGTGATTGCTTGTTTTGTTATTTGTCTAATGTGGATTTCCAAGTATAATTGCTGCTCATATTTTCCTAATTTCAGGTTGTTGGTGATGTTGCCTTACAACTTCATGCTGGAAACCCTTTCACAGGGATAGAGTTAGTCAATTAGTTGACTCGGAATCGAACCTAAAATTTATGTCAGTTTTAGGTTCAGTCAATCATTGGAAACTTGTTATTTCGATTATCAAAACAAATCATGTCATGGAAATTTGGGATATCCCCAATTTATTTCAAAATAAAGTTAAGACTTGTTTGACATTTTATCATATCATTTTAACATCATAAAATTTCTCAACTTTCAGAAGGTAGCCTTTTAGGCTGATTCTTCACCTGGAAAAGGAAAGACAACTGGTACGTGAAGACAGGTAGCGTAACTTATGATATCATTATCGATAAATTATTTCATCAATTGTCGGTGAAATTTGAAGAGCCAAAGGACACGTTACTTTTACAGAAAATACATAAATAAAAGAAGAAACAGTTAAATGCATGCAGCGTATCAAGTAGAAACTTAGGAACCATGAATGTTGTTCTCGACGAAGATGTCGTCGAGTAGTGATTTGCAAGCATCTTCAAGGAAGTCTAAAACCTGTTAAAGCAATTGACAACACAACACGTGATAAGATTTACCAGTTTGTATGCAGAATGTAAATATTACCATAAATTGCAGAAGTTATCGAAACATAGGAGGCACACTAAGATAACAAAAAGATGACATTACTCGATGTCGTTTGGCTAATCAAGAACTAATAGCAAAGTATCAATGTCAAGAAGTACCAACTTCCAAACTCACAGGGCAAGGTATTTTCAATCATCTATACTATATAGTCGTATCCCTGTGTTTTGATACCTTCTTCAAATAAAGGGGGGGGGGGAAACTGGCAGAGCCTGAAATAGATAATTTATGTAAATACTGTAGTGATTTTTTTCGCAGAGCATTCAATTTCTAATACAGTGCTGCTCGCAAGATTGGATGATTGTTGTACTTTTGAAGACTCGACTAGCTCTACTGTATTTTTATAGCATAGTAATAACTTGCCACCATTTTCTGAATTGATTTACACTTTACATATATATAAGATACACCAGGATAAGAAAACTCGCTGTTAAAAAGAAGCCAAAAAGATCATCCTCTTCTCACATTTTCCTAGAAAACTAAAACATATCAAACTCCATATGGTCTTCAGTACCCTGCAATTCGCCGCCTTTGGAGCTATCATTTTTCTGCAAAGCTGCGGTTGGCACATAGATGCTGGTCTTGCATAACCTTGGCATCGCAGGTGGTACTGCGCATCGTATCAGAGCCCAATTTAGGCCTCCAAAGAAAGGATGCCGTTTGATCTCTGAAGCTCCTTTCACTGATCCTAACCGGTTCTCAGGTTCCTTAACTGAAAACCCTCTTATCAAATCTCTTGCATGAAAACTAACTTTAGGGCTGGTAGGAAACCTAAGGCCATGTGAAACCACATTGGATAGTGTTTCATTGTTTCCTGAACCCCTGAAAGGTGTTTTTCCGTACAAAAACTCGAACAGAAAGATTCCAAATGTCCACCAATCAACAGCATTCCCATGACCTTCACCTTTGATGATTTCTGGAGCAAGGTATTCATGTGTTCCAACAAATGAGTTTGACCGGGCAATGGTCGGCTCCACAACAACGCAGGCGCATTTACTTAACTAATACCTTTTGTTTGTAATATTCCCTTTTTAACACCCGTTGATCAATATTTCCCGAAGTAGCACCTTTTCGGCTGACGTGGCACAAAGACGCATCCCCAAGGACGCGCTTTCACGGGATTCTGATGACTCGGATGCCACGTGTGGAAGGCGCATCCCCGGGGACGCGCCTTCCATTAAATGTCATAAATGCCCCCATTCGTTTTCCCCCAACTACCCCTCCTCATCCCCTATATAAATCTTCTATATTAAATGTCATATAGCTCTCAATGTATGTATACCTAAATAATTTTTTTAATTTTTATTTAAAAATTGTTTAATGATATTTATTTAATATAATAATTAATTTTATTTATTATAAAAAAATAATTATTAATTTTAAAAGAGAAAAAATTTGAGTATTGAATTAAAAAGTTTAGAAAATTATTTACGAAAAATCAAAACGTAAATCATTTTTACGAAAATAAAAAAGAAATTCTGTTGATAAAAAATATTTTACATTGACCTTATTTTCCAAAAAGTATGGTCAATTATTATACCCTAAAGTTAGTTATTAAATAGCTAAATGTGAATTTTTCCACTTTTTCCTATTGCTTGTTAAACCAAAAAGTATTGTTAATTTTTTTCTATAATATAAAATTTTGTGTCGCAAAGAGTGTTGATTTCGTTTTTATCCCTTTATTTTTTTTCGTTTAAGATTTGAATAGTTGGGTGACCAAAAAAGTGGAAAACATGAGGGTCCGATTTTATCCATTTTTTCAACGGTATTGATATTTAGGTGTGAAAAAATAAAAATGGGGCAACTTGGAATTTCTAAAATTCTAAATTCACACCGTCTGAATAATAAGTCTATTCTTCCTACCTGCTTGGTCTTTTGGAGATTTTTAAAGAAAAGTACTCTAATATAACATTAAAGAAAGATATAACTGGAAATGTTAATTTTGTTTTAATATTTCTGGTGAAACATTACCTAAAATGTTATTTTGTTACTTAAAATATTAATCTTTTTAATATTTCTGATTGCAACCATAAATGTTATAGAAAAAGTAACATTTTCAGTTGTAACCGGAGACGTTAAAATATTAAAATGTTGGGTATCAAAATTAACATTTTAGGTAATACTCTATCCGAGATGTTAAAAAATATTAACATTTCTGATTATATATTTATTTAACCTTATATTCGGTTGTAGTACAACTGTTTTTTGGCATGGGATTCTTAATAGATTGTAACATTTTGAATCTTAGCTTTTTCTTAAAAAAAATAAACTCGTTGGATCGGTGATCAGTACATTTGAATTTAACATCTTATAGTTTCACGTAAAAATATGTTTTCAAAAATATTTTTTTTATTTTTTAGTGTTTGATTAATGAAAAATAAGGTGGTCAATGTAAAATATTTTTTTCATCAACAAAATTTCTTTTTTATTTTCGTAAAAATGACTTATATTTTGATTTTATGTAAGTAATTTTATGATATTTTCAGTTCAATACTCAAAATTTTTTCTCTACTTAGAAGGTAGAATTATTATGATATTTTAAAATTAATAATTAATTTTTTATAATAAATAAAAATAATTATTATATTAAATAAATATCATTAAATAATTTTTAAATAAAATTTTTTAAAAAAATTATTTAGGTGTACATACATAGAGAGTTATATGACATTTAATATAGGGGTTTATATAGGAAAAGATGAGGGATAGTTGGGAGAAAACGAATGAGGGTATTTATGCATTAAATGGAAGGCGCGTTCCCGGGAATGCACTTTCCACACGTGGCATCTGAGTCATCAGAATCTCGTGAAAGCATCTCGTGAAAGCGCGTCCCCGGGATGTGCCTTTGTGCCACATCAACTAAAAGATGCTATTTCGAAAAATATTGATTAACGAGTGTTAAAAAAAATATTACAGACAAAATGTGTTAAATGTGCCCCTGTGGCATGGGGCTAATCAGAGTAGCTAGATCGGATTTTATCCTCCTTGACTTGGAAGCAAGTGATAACAGCCTAGGAGTGAAGCATGGAACTTGAAAGGATGGATTTAGGAAGAAAGGCTCACTACAGCTGGACTCGGAGCATGTACTTGACATCTTCTCTGCAGGCTCAGCAATGGGTGAAGCAGATTTAAGCAGCACTGGATTGGCATCACATCTGAGTGACAGGTCAAAATCCGTGAGCATGATGTGACCGTCTTCTCTAACCAAGATATTTTCTGGTTTTAGATCTCGATATACAACACCAAACATGTGTAGGTACTCCAATGCAAGGGGCACTTCAGCACCATAAAACCTGCATGAATGAAAAGCAAAAGTAGGAAGAAAACATCAGAAAACCAGAGCAACAAGAAACCGCCGATGAACCATAATAATGTGATTCAAATTTAATTCTAACAATCTTAATCGAGATTAAAACCTCGTATATCTAGTGTTATGAAATTGACTTTAAGCTCCATCACTTGCATGGCATCCTCATGAACACAAACAATATAAAGGAATATTAATTTAAGAATTCAGATTTACTCCCAATAAGTTTCCACTTAAAATATAGAACGCTTTAACTTGAGTGGAAATCTTCAATCCTGTTCTGAGGTGCACGAGTTTTCATGCTGAGAACTGCCTTTTTTTCATCTTCTTCCTTACCTTTTCCTTTTTGCTTTAAGGTTGAAATTACCGAGGACTAAATGACAAAGAATGAGAACCAAGATGCTTAGATCTTTCACACAAAAAAAGGGGACAGCATTTTCTCTTCCCTATTTTCTCGTATGCCCTACTGGTTGTGCATAATCAGAAACAGATAAAATTAAGAACAATGTACAATGAACACTAAAGCTTCTTGTCAGAACAAGCTAGAAGCATATTCTAACATCATTAAAGATATAGATTTTACCTTACTGCTTGTTCAGAGAAACTCCTGCCAGGCTGCTTCTATCGTAACGCGTGCAAATCTCCACCGGGACAATACTCCATAACCAAGCAAGAAAGTTGTTCTGTTGCAAGATAGGCATATAGTGTGGGGAGAAAAGGATGATCCAACATTTGCATTATCTCCTTTTCTGTTTGTGCCCTAGGAATATTCTTATGGTTCAACAAAAAAACATTGTTCATCACTTTCAAAGCAAATAAGCAGTTTGTATTGGTTAGCTCAGCAAGATAAACGGTCCCAATATCCCCACAACCAAGCTTCTTGAGAAGCTTGAAGTGATTCAAACTCAAGCTTCCATGCTGCTTCCAGACGGAGCTAATAGCTTCCCACCTCAAATCTTTTGACATGCGAGGTCTACTACCAATCCGACTAGAACCAATCATATTGTTTTCATCACTAGTGATTGTGCTACTACTATACTCCCCAATGCTACCTTTCGAGCTCTGGGAAAACTCTCCCTTTTTCCTTGATCTTGATCTGTCATCAGCTTCGAACAACAATGCTTTGGGTTTGTAACTATAGTTTGAACTCAAAATCGATTTGAAACTCGTACCCACCATGCTCGAGTTAACTTCAGTGCCGCAGCAGCATGTACTGCTGCAAACTTGTGAAACTTTCATGTTTTCCTTTCTTTCATTGCCTGAAGGCTTCTGTATTTGGCTATCTGAATAACTCGTATTAGGATTGAGATCATTGCCGAAACAACCATTACAGGAATTGGAACTGCTGGCAATAGTAGTTGATTCCTGTTTTGCTTTCTTCCTAGTAAAGCTTTTGTTCCTCAAGACTGGCTTGATTAGACGTGGATTTTCACTAATAGATTTCATATTACATATTCTGCATTAATTTTTCATTTTTCATACTTCGGCATGAAGGTGTTGATTTTGATTCTGCTACAAAGCATGGGATAAAAGTTGCCAGAATTCCTGGTGGTGCTACTGGAAATGCTGCATCTTGTGCCGAAATGGCTATATATCTAATGTTGGGCCTTCTTAGGAAACAGGTTTATTTAATTTATTAACTTAAGAATTGCATTGCTTCTCTAATATGTTCCTATGATAGTAGTTAAACACGAAAAATAGTTGACTTTATGTTAATGGTGAGGTTAGTTCACTATGTTCTCTTATTTGTCTGATTTGTGCATACAATTGAAAGTTGTGTCTGGGTTAAAAAACATGAAAGAGACTTTGCAATGGAACTTGATTATCATTTTAATAAATTATGGTCAAAATGCAGTAAATTAAGCAACTTGTGGAAGAGGACAATATCCTGATGAACTGTTATGAGATCGATGGCCATTATTAACTGCTAGACTAGCTGTGTCTTTGTTCCTATTCCCAGAAAATTTTCATCAAGGCTTGAAATTATGGTTTTTCGATAATATTGTAATATGAATAATTCAATAATGCAGTCATACCTTGCATTTCAGCTAGACTGCAACTCGTGTTTGTAGTTTTTGTTTGATTAAATAGTATTTTGTTCAATGCATTCAGTACCCACTACATTAAAAACTCATTTTCCAGGATGTTTGCTGTCCCTTTCAGTCAATTCTATATGTCTTCAGTATCTTGTTACCATTTTATTGGAGCCCCCGGTTTAGCTTGATGCTTCTGCTCATTGCATTATTTCTTTGCTGTCTGCTAGTTGAAGTATTTGATGCATGTATTTATATGAAACCTTAACTTTAACATTCATGCTATGTTTTTTGTCCTTGATATATAATATTTTGATGACCAAAGTAATTGTGGTGGTGTTGCAGAATGAGATGCAAATATCTGTAAAGCAGCAAATGCTTGGAGAGCCTGTTGGGGACACACTTCTTGGGAAAACTGTCAGTTTCTACTTTATCTTTTCAGTTTTCCCTTTGCTTCAACATTACTTTGAGATTCTTGCTTGTAAACCTTTTCATGAAATATGAACCTGTGCTTTTCTCTTTCAGTTTTCATGGTGACTGTCACTGATAATATACTCGATGAGTGATCGTTTGAACTTCATAATTTGGATATATCAGGCCAACTGAATTGAAAACAAAAATAAAAGCTTTACCATACTAATGCAAATTAATTTTCTGTGTCATGTCAAAGGAAGACAGCAACAGAGGCAATAATTTGACTTGGATTCAGGAATGAAACTAAATATTTTCTGTGATGGGAAATTTGACGTTGAGTACTGGGCAGAATCAATACTCTGTTGCTGTGTCTGGTTTGCATTTTTTCCTTGGAAGTTGGAACTGGCAATGTCTTAAGGTGACATCAGTTCAAATTGATCCTATCCATGCATGGTAAAGGACTAAGATAATCAATCTGTTTCAATTTGTTTATTCGAACATAGTAAAGGACTATGACATTGAGAATCAATCCGTTTCAACTTGTTTCTTCAAACATTTGCATTTACAACCTTAATCCGTATTTAAACTCCTCGGTTTTTGTTTTCTTTTTCCCTGGAAATGAAATGTTGGTTTGATGATCTCGTTTTTCAATTATTGTAGGGAATGAGATCTTAATATGATGCTGTCATGTTTCAAATCGTCGTTTCCAATATTTTAGTTTAATTTTTAATTATCAACCTGTTTGTCCAGATCTTTATACTGGGCTTTGGAAATATTGGAACTGAGTTGGCCAAGCGCCTAAAAACATTTGGTGTTAAAGTTATTGCTACGAAAAGGAGCTGGCCCTCAACTTTGGAAGTTACCCCAAAAGGTATAGAAGATTATTAAGTAAATAGTGAAACTCAGTTTCAATGGCATCTCATTCATTATGGTCTCAAATATTCAGCTTTTCCAAGTCAAAACGAGGTCATTGATGATTTGGTTGACAAGAAAGGCATACATGGAGATATTTATGAGTTTGCAAGCAATGCCGATATAGTTGTCTGTTGCTTGAATTTGAATAAAGATACAGTAAGGCTTCTCCTTTCCTTCTTTACTTGAAATATCCACTTTCAAATAAACGGTAAGGCTACAAAGCTTACTCTCCAAGCAAATTTCATACAATTGGGATATTTCAAATTTTCAGGTTGGCGTTGTGAACAAGTCCTTCTTATCTTCAATGAAAAAGGTTTGTTTCAAATGCACTCCGTAATTCAGGATAGAACTGTCATAGTTTTTCTTTTAGGTGCAGTCATAGCTATGAAAACATGAAAATGAACGGCATATTTCTTCTTGCAAAAGCATATTTTCATAACATATATTTATATACTACCTCTCTTCTGTAAACTTTCAATGTTTAATTGGATGTTTGTGCTAATAATAGTGTGATTTCAGGGAGCCCTTTTGGTGAATGTTGCTCGAGGAGCTCTTTTAGACTATGGGGCAGTTGTGCATCATCTCAAGTCAGGACACTTGGGAGGCTTAGGAACTGATGTTGCATGGAGAGAACCATTTGAACCTGATGACCCCATTTTGAAATTCAAGAATGTTATACTGACACCTCATGTTGCCGGGGTTACTGAACATTCTTACCGAACCATGGCGAAGGTATACATCTTAGCTATGCTTTTAGATTTTTAGAAGTAACATGAATTTTATTTTTCACTGCAAAGGCATTAAAGCCGAGAAAAAGAAGAAAATTGGCATATGAATTATCAAATTTATCCAACTAAAGTAGGGTTTCAGGTATTTGTTTCACATGTTTCTTCATCTTCATCATTGTGATTGCTTGTTTTGTTATTTGTCTAATGTGGATTTCCAAGTATAATTGCTGCTCATATTTTGCTAATTTCAGGTTGTTGGTGATGTTGCCTTACAAATTCATGCTGGAAACCCTTTCACAGGGATAGAGTTAGTCAATTAGTTGACTCGGAATCGAACCTAAAATTTATGTCAGTTTTAGGTTCAGTCAATCATTGGAAACTTGTTATTTCGATTATCAAAACAAATCATGTCATGGAAATTTGGGATATCCCCAATTTATTTCAAAATAAAGTTAAGACTTGTTTGACATTTTATCTTATTGTTTTAACATCATAAAATTTCTCTACTTTCAGAAGGTAGCCTTTTAGGCTGATTCTTCACCTGGAAAAGGAAAGACAACTGGTACGTGAAGACAGGTAGCGTAACTTATGATATCATTATCGAGAAATTATTTCATCAATTGTCGGTGAAATTTAAAGAGCCAAAGGACACATTACTTTTACAGAATACATAAATAAAAGAAGAAACAGTTAAATACATGCAGAGTATCGAGTATAAACTTAGGTGGTGTTTGTTTTCACTGTTAAAGGTCTTCAAAGTTCTTATGTTTGCGTCGCGCAGATCACGTACAGACATTGTGTTTCGCAGACCGTTTGTTTTTTAGAAGACAGAAGCTCTTCTAACGTCTACGCATCTTCTTCTTGACGCAGACGTGACCTTATATCTTCAAAGCTCTTCTAACCTCTTCAAAGAACATTAAATTTATAAATGATCATTAAATTATATGATTTTTTTAAACATAAACGCATGTATTATTAGTTTTATAAGTTTTATGTTATAGATATTAATTTTAATATTAATTTTTTAAATAAATTAAATATTAATTTTTAATATTATATATTATAGATATTTAATTTTATATCATATAAATTATTTTATACATTATTTTGATTAAGTTTAAATATAATATTTTTTTTTGGATTTGTTATTTTTAAATTACATTTAAACTTTTTATACGAAATGTAAGTATTTAAATCACATTGCTTAATAAAAAATGATTTCATTGTTTGATAATTAAGATTTTAAAATATAAAAAATTATAAATTATGTTTTTAAAATTTTAAAATATAATCACAATTAAATAAAAAATAATCATAAAATAATTTCATAAATTAAAAAATATTTTCTAAAAATATTTTTATAATTATAAAAATAAATTATGAATATATATATTTAAAAAAAATTAAAAGTATTACATAATTGCATAAAATTATTGAAAATATTCAAATAAAATTTTAATTACAATTAAAGAGTAAATGAGAAATTTTCCACCAATATAGTATGTACGATCTGTTTTTCTTTTTTAACGAAAGAAAGGAAAGAACTTAGCTCAAATTGCATCATTGATCACGCATTGAACTTATTCCATGAGAACGGCTTCGATCCCATCAGCGGGGTCTGGAAAATATAAAGACCAGGATTTCTTGACAATTATTTTTTTTGAAAAGAGAGGTGTATGATTCATTGATTAATAATAGTTTAATGATAATTAATGTTGCTGTGCCATATGATGATAAAATTCAAAATTTAATATTATTATATAACTTTAGATAATTTAATATTTAAAAAATCATATAATTTAATGATCATTTATAAATTTTATTCTATAAAAATTATAAAACTAATAATACATGTGATTATGTGAGACTTATAATAGAATTAATAAGGTGGTGTTTGTTTATCTAAAAAATTTATTATTGTAGAAGTATGGATTAATTAAATTTCAGTATTGTAAAAATAAAATTATTTAAATCTCAGTATTGCAAAACTCTTTTAAAAAAATCAGTTTATATATATTTTAGTTTATTTTAGTAGTCTGCAAACGTTAATTTAATAAGGTTATTTATTAAATAATTTATTCAGTATGGATTGATTTATTTTAAAAAATTTATTATTGTAGTATGGATTATTTAAATTTCAGTATTGTAAAATAAAATTATTTAAATTTCAGTATTGCAAAACTCTTTTAAGTTTAAAAAATCAATTTATTTATATTTCAATTTATTTTAACAGTCTGCATACGTTAAAAAAATAAACAGTCTTATTTTTGCAGACTGCAGATTTTTGATCCACCTATTCTGCTGCAGATGCATGCAGACCTTTTACCTCTACAAAAACAAACAATCACCTTAGGAACCATGAATGCTGTTGTTCTCGATGAAGATGTCGTCGAGTAGTGATTTGCAAGCATCTTCAAGTAAGTCTAAAACCTGTTAAAGCAATTGACAACACAACACGTGATAAGATTTACCAGTTTGTATGCAGAATGTAAATATTACCATAAATTGCAGAAGTTATCGAAACATAGGAGGCACACTAAGATAACAAAAAGATGACATTACTGGATGTCGTTTAGCTAATCAAGAACTAATAGCAAAGTATCAATGTCAAGAAGTACCAACTTCCAAACTCACAGGGCAAGGTATTTTCAATCATCTATACTATATAGTCGTATCCCTGTGTTTTGATACCTTCTTCAAATAAAGGGGGAAAAAAACTGGCAGAGCCTGAAATAGATAATTTATGTAAATACTGTAGTGATTTTTTTCGCAGAGCATTCAATTTCTAATACACTGCTGCTCGCAAGATTGGATGATTGTTGTACTTCTGAAGACTCGACTACCTCTACTGTATTTTTATAGCATAGTAATAACTTGCCACCATTTTCTGAATTGATTTACACTTTACATATATATAAGATACACCAGGATAAGAAAACTCGCTGTTAAAAAGAAGCCAAAAAGATCATCCTCTTCTCACATTTTCCTAGAAAACTAAAACATATCAAACTCCATATGGTCTTCAGTACCCTGCAATTCGCCGCCTTTGGAGCTATCATTTTTCTGCAAAGCTGCGGTTGGCACATAGATGCTGGTCTCGCATAACCTTGGCATCGCAGGTGGTACCGCGCATCGTATCAGAGCCCAATTTAGGCCTCCAAAGAAAGGATGCCGCTGAAGCTCCTTTCACTGATCCTAACCGGTTCTCAGGTTCCTTAACTAAAAACCCTCTTATCAAATCTCTTGCATGAAAACTAACTTTAGGGCTGGTAGGAAACCTAAGGCCATGTGAAACCACATTGGATAGTGTTTCATTGTTTCCTGAACCCCTGAAAGGTGTTTTTCCGTACAAAAACTCGAACAGAAAGATTCCAAATGTCCACCAATCAACAGCATTCCCATGACCTTCACCTTTGATGATTTCTGGAGCAAGGTATTCATGTGTTCCAACAAATGAGTTTGACCGGGCACTGGTCGGCTCCACAACAACCTGTGGCATGCGCATTCACCTTTTTTTGTTGTTGTAATATTCTCTTTTTAACACCCGTTGATCAATATTTCCTGAAGTAGCACCCTTTCGGTTGACGTGGCACAAAGGCGCATCCCTAAGGACGCGCTTTCACGAGATTCTGATGACTCGGATGCCACGTGTGGAAGGCGCATCCCCGGGGACGCGCCTTCCATTAAATGTCATAAATGCCCCCATTCGTTTTCCCCCAACTACCCCTCCTCATCCCCTATATAAATCCTCTATATTAAATGCCATATAGCTCTCAATGTATGTATACCTAAATAATTTTTTTAATTTTTATTTAAAAATTATTTAATGATATTTATTTAATATAATAATTAATTTTATTTATTATAAAAAATTAATTATTAATTTTAAAATATTATAATAATTCTACCTTCTAAGTAGAGAAAAAATTTGAGTATTAAATTGAAAAGTTTAGAAAATTATTTACGGAAAATCAAAACGTAAATCATTTTTACGAAAATAAAAAAGAAATTCTATTGATAAAAAAATATTTTACATTGACCTTATTTTCCAAAAAGTATAGTCAATTATTATACCCTAAAGTCAGTTATTAAATAGTTAAATGTGAATTTTTTCACTTTTTCCTATTGCTTGTTGAACCAAAAAGTATTGTTAATTTTTTTCTATAATATAAAATTTTGTGTCTCAAAGAGTGTTGATTTCGTTTTTATCCCTTTATTTTTTTCGTTTGAGATTTGAATAGTTGGGTGACCGAAAAAGTGGAAAACATGAGGGTCCGATTTTAGCCATTTTTTCAACAGTATTAGTATTTAGGCGTGAACAAATAAAATGGGGCAACTTGGAATTTCCAAAATTCTAAATTCACACCGTCAGAATAATAAGGCTATTCTTCCTACTTGCTTGGTCTTTTGGAGATTTTTAAAGAAAAGTACTCTAATATAACGTTAAAGAAAGATATAACTGGAAATGTTAATTTTGTTTTAATATTTATGGTGAAACATTACCTAAAATGTTATTTTGTTTCTTAAAATATTAATCTTTTTAATATTTCTGATTGCAACCAGAAATGTTATAGAAAAGTTAACATTTTCAGTTACAACCGGACACGTTAAAATATTAACATGTTGGGTATCAAAATTAACATTTTAGGTAATACTCTATCAGGGATGTTAAAAAATATTAACATTTCTGATTATATATTTATTTAACTTTATATTCGGTTGTAGTACAATTGTTTTTTGGCATGGGATTCTTAATAGATTGCAACATTTTGAATCTTAGCTTTTTCTTAAAAAAATAAACCCGTTGGATAGGTGATCAGTACATTTGAATTTAGTATCTTATAGTTTCACGTAAAAACATGTTTTCAAAAATATTTTTTTATTTTTTAGTGTTTGATTAATGAAAAATAAGGTGGTCAATGTAAAATATTTTTTTCATCAACAAAATTTCTTTTTTATTTTCGTAAAAATGACTTACGTTTTGATTTTTCGTAAGTAATTTTTTGAACTTTTCAGTTTAATACTCAAATTTTTTTCTCTACTTAGAAGGTAGAATTATTATAATATTTTAAAATTAATAATTAATTTTTTATAATAAATAAAAATAATTATTATATTAAATAAATATCATTAAATAATTTTTAAATAAAAATAATTATTATATTAAATAAATATCATTAAATAATTTTTAAATAAAAATTTTTTAAAAAATTATTTAGGTGTACATACATGGAGTGTTATATGACATTTAATATAGGGGGTTTATATAGGGAAGGAGGAAGGGTAGTTGGGGGAAAACGAATGGGGGTATTTATGGCATTTAATAGAAGGCGCGTCACCGGAGATGCGCCTTCCACACGTGGCATTCGAGTCATCAGAATCCCGTGAAAGCGCGTCCTCGGGGATGTGCCTTTTAGGGATGGCAACGGGCTAGGTTCGGGCCGGGTATTGGTC